TCAACTAGTATAATATATATATATAAATAAATAAAACTTTAGAAACAAAAATGTACATCAGCATTACATATTGATATTATAGGTACATATTAATATATTATAAGGTATTAGGTTTAGACATATTGACTTTTTATGATTTTATTAATACACACATTATCATCATTCATCAAGGTCACTAACTATTTTATTTATTGCCTTTTTTATTTGATTTTTATAAATTATATTAATAGTATCATTGGTATTATTAGATTGACTTTCACATAAACTTTTTATTAGACTCTTTACTTCGTCATTTAAATTGTTGAAAATAGTTTTCCCCATGTAATTAGGAGAATTTCTGGAACTAGTTAGTAAAGTATGTGACGGTTTAATGAATTTTCCTGTTCTTCTGTCTATTATTTCTGTAGCATCGAGTGTATGGTTCTGTATGGATTTAACTAAAACTTGTCTAATGCATAATTTATAAACAGATAATATATTAGCATGGTTGAATAATTCCTCTGATGGGTATTTTAATGGTAGGGAGTATGCTACTTTTAGAATCATTTTTTGTGTAGTATGCAATGTATTGATATCTGTTCTGTTGGTGCCTCCCCAACATGTTATGCCGTATAATTATTATCGAATTACACAGTGCCATGTAAATTTGTCTTATAATTGATTTATCAATGAATCGAATTTTGTAAAATAATACAGTTAAGCTCCTCATTTTATTTTTGATATTATGTATATATTCTGACCAATTGAAGTTAAAATCCACTGTCACTCCTAAATAGTTGAATGATAATATCATTATAACATGATAATACATGTCTTATCTTCATAATAATAAGGCGAAGGACGTTCGTTGAATTATCTTACCCATCCGAAGTCATATACCTACCGAACAACGACAAAAATTAGTATTATACAATATACATGTAAATTATAATAACCTGCCCAGAGCCCATCGATATTTCGGTTTATTGGTGGACATTGAAAACGGGGTGTTTAGCACCAAATAGTCACACACGACATTTCATCCTAGACTGCAGTATGCGATCATCGCGGTAGAGTGTGAGTAGGAAAATAAATCTTAAAACTATGTGGTTGGTATAATACGGCATATAATAATATAATATGGTATAAAATGGTATACCAATTTACGCGGAAGCAAACATTATGTTGGCACCCTTTTGCGGTGCTTTAATGATTTAGTTAAGACACCGTTTGGTAAGCGATTTCATACGCGAATAAATTGCGGTTTTATCGTCGAAATATTTACACTGCAAATGCGCGCTAAATTCAATAATTTTATAAAACGGCAGTATAAACTATAGGACTATCTACGATAGGGTCGACTTGACCTGCAGACCATCTGGTAAAATCGACAGTTAATATAATACCGGGGTTTAAAGACTATTTCGGGATAAATTGTGCACCACCACCGTACGGAAATAATAATAATTATGCGTAGGCTTAGCCTATAATATTGAAAAAATATTAAGATCGATCATTTATCATGATGGTTTTACACTTTCATCGACGATCTTGACAATTGTGTCGAATAGTTATACTGAAATTGGTTCAGAGGTTCCATATTATTACGGGTTTATATTATATATATTATATATTGTATATACTTTAATATCGGGTCGTGCCGATAGTTTTATTTTATGGTCGTTTTGAAACTCGACTACCTGCCTATTTGAACTTCTCTATTATTACATTTTATATAAATAAACATATTAAAAAAAAAACAATAAGCCGATACCTTTTTATCATTTTTAGGATTCTGAAGCAAAAAACGGAATCCTTATAGATTCGTCATGTCTATCTGTCTGTCCGTCATGGTGGTCACTTTTCTCCGAAGCTATGAGAGCTATACTGTTGAAACTTGGTAAGTAGATGTATTCTATCAACCACATTAAGATTTTCACACAAAAATAGAAAAAAAATAAATACATTTGGGGGTTGTCCATACTTAGTTAGAACTGAAACTCAAAATATTTTTTTCATCCAACCCATACGTGTGGGGTATCCATGGATAGATCTTCAAAAATGATATTGAGATTTCTAATATCTTTTTTTTTTTAAACTGAATAGTTTGCTCGAGAGACACTTCCAAAGTGATAAAATGTGTGTCCTCCCCACCCCCCTATAACTTCTAAAATAAGACAATGATAAAACTAAAAAAAATATGTGATGTACATTACCATGCAAACCTATACCGAAAATTAGTTTGAACAAGATCTAGTAAGTAGTTTTATAATAATATAATATATATCTATTTTGTCATGAATACACTTAAAAATTTAATCTCGATCACGGGCTAAGATAGACTAAGATGGGCTATAATGCCATAATGAACTTGGTATAAGACTTCTGCTGGACCTGGTGGTGGGGCCAAAGTTCGTACGAAACGACTTATTATTTATGTTACTTGCTGCTACGGAACCCTTCATGTTCGAGTCCGACTCGCACTTGGCCGCTTTTTAAAAATGATTATACTCAACTTATTTTGAAATTATATTGTTTAGTTATTTAAAATAACTGATAAGGTCATCTATTGACCTGATAAAGATAATACTACGGTTTGGAGACTTCTGGAATAAATTTTGCATTACTATATAATACGATAATAATAACAGCCCACAGGCTTACCTATAATAATAATATAATTAGAACAATTTTGCCAATCATTTATAATCGTTCCAATTTTATTGACTGACTTCGATGATTATCCTCAATATGATATTAAATGAACTACCTAACGTACAAAATAATAAGATTATTTTTTGAAAAAAATGGTGAGTGCTTTTTTTGTTATTTTGAAAAATGATAATACTTTACATGTTTTAAAAAATGAATAATTTAAATTTAGGTACCTACCAAGCAACTGTGAACTGACCAGTTGTTAACGAAATATTTATATTTGTGAATTGTAAGTATGTATCCCAGTATGATATATCTAGTTTTAAACTTAGATAAAAACCATCACCGAATACTATTACACTGCTACTTACGGTTATAGTACCTACTAAAAATCTACATGACTACATGTAAGGATAAGGACTAAGGATTTGCGCCAAAACTACTACTTATAGAACGGTCTAAACTAGACCAGTATACATTGAATATTTGCGCACCAGTTCAACGATGTATTTATAATATGCATTTTTATCGTTAGTAAACCAAACACGTAGATACGGACATGCCCAGCAATAACGTAGGTAATACTATTCTGGTCCCGAGAGGTATTTACCAAATAAAAACTTTATGTCCGTTTATTTCCTTTTGTCGCTTTGAAAATAATAAATAATATTGTATCGTCCTCTTGGCCATGAAACGCAGAGACGGTTCCGGACGGCGGGCACTTAAACTGCAGTCTTGTGATATGCACCAGAGACTTTATATAGGTACCTGCTTATATAAAAGTTCGGGGTAGTGTCTTCATACAAAAAAAATGTGTTTTTTTAACCGAATTGGTTCAAATAATATTGTTTTATGAACGTCGATAGTAAAATTAAATATTATTTATGAGAGGGGTACCTACATATATTTTAATTTAAAAATTTTAATTCATTAAAAAAAAACATTTTTATGTATAGTTAGGTGACATTGGGAAACCATTAGTCGATACCACTAATATAATATTATTATAAATTATAATATATGCATTCATATACATTTTATTATGAAGGTGAGGGAGGGTAAAACATTTTGATATTATGATTAAATATTGAGTAGCATTTATGTGTTATATAAATCAATTACCTTACAGCTAGTATTATGTAATATTATAATATAGGCCATAGGGATAGGCGGATAGCCGACTAGTATATTAACGAATAGTGTTTGTTATTTTTATACGATCGTATATTATGAAGATTACATAAACGGATGCCAATATTTATGCAATATAAAGTGTGCAATATAATATAATGTAGGTATTGAAACGTGTTATATTATTGTCATAATTTAATATAAATTATTTTGCGAGCGAGCGTGTCTTGTGCAATTTACAACCTACCTACCTAGACGCGTAGACCAACCTGCGTGTTTGGCATTATAGATTTAGCATATGAAATATTCAAAGAATAGAAATGAGCTGTGAGTGGTGACACTCGAGTGCTGGAATACTGTTATCACGTCCCCGGACATATCATTATATGGATAATAAAATGTAACACTTTGAGGCCGTGAATAAAAGATACCTAGCCGTATAGTACATGCAAATCGTTTAAACTCGATCGCGGAGATGTCGATTGACGATCGCCACTAAAATATACTCACTCTGTATGCGCATTATTCGTGCGTATTATCATAGATGGGTAATCCGGACGATCAATCTTGTTCCGTCCCGGTACAAATACGTTGGCATACACCCACACACCCACACTAACATGTCATATATATATTAGGTAGGAATATGTATAGTCGTATAGTGTCAAGAGGTACAAGCGTGCGTTCATGTTATTATCGTATATACGGCGAGACAACAATAATATTATATATTAGATTGTTGCTCGCGACTATTAATAATATAATATAGACCATTATTATTATAGTCAAGACGAACGGATAGGGTGGGGGGATAGGGATGATGCGACTATTACGCGTGCGGTGTACATTTATTTCATATAATATATATCGTATCTATATGTACAATATACATGTAATATAATATATATATATAAGCTGTGCAGCTCGTGGTCCTCTATACCGGAAGGGCGAGGAAGATTAGTCGGTGTTAAGCGACATCTGCTGCTTCCGTCGTATAATAACAATACTACCGCGCCACGCGATGACAATTTAATATATTATAATATGCTATATGCATATAATATAGTGTTATTAAATGGTATTTATACAACGTAAAATATAGTACTGGTTTATACGTAGGCGATATTAATGCTCATTTATTATACGGTATGATGGCCATCGCAGGTCAGGAGACCACTATAATATTATATTACATAATAGAGGACCAATATAATAATATTCGGAGTACGGCTTACCAACACAGGTTCAGCACCTTGGCGTCCTCCGACTGGTTGCCACTCATCTCTTCGCGGACCAGAGACATGAACTTTGCGGTGCACGAGTCCCAGTCCGAGTTGATCGCCCGGTAACAGTCCGTATACTTCAAGTAGTCTGCAACACAATATAACAGTATAAATCGAATTTCGATGTGGTCGTGAATTAAAATAATATTCAAAGATGACAGATATGTGTATCCCCGTGTGTACCGTGGTGATACATAACTTATTTTTTTTAAACGAAAATCAACTTTTTAACTGTAAATTATTGAACAGTTAATTTTTTTCGAATACGTTGATTTTTTAAATCAAATACGTAGTTTCTGATTTATTATACTTATTAATGTGTCTATGTTAGTGCAATAATGACCGTTAGACGGAAAATAACATTATTCATAGGTCATTAACGGTATATTGACCAAATACACAGGTAATTACCGTTTTAAACTAGATATTCACGCCGTTGACCAAATACATAGGTAATAATTTATATAAATTGAAAATATTAACGAGCGTGTAGTTGGCCCTCCCTCCATGCCTAATTTATTTGAAGTAACAATAAAGTAATCCGGTTAACAATTTAGAGGAAAAATAGTGATTCTGAATTGAAAATAATAAATCGGTATCACCGTCCACCACAGGACACTCCTTAAATGGTATACAAAGTCTATGAGTATTTGAAAATATGACCCTTAACTCTTAAGTAGATTTAAAAGTTCCGAAAATCAGAATTTGAATACATTTGTTATACTTGTATAATTTATATATAATATTCAGCGTTTGGAGAGTGGGAGGCAATCAATAAATCAGAAGTTATAATACGTATTATGATAAAGATGTGGTGCGTATTAAGTAAATTTAAAGTTATAGAAAAAATTATATTTCCTTGAATTTCCTGAGATATTGACAGCTGCAGGTTCATGAGATAACCATTCCGTATACGATAAAAAATATTTCCCGTAAAATTATACATTTTAAGGCTGTGCCATTGCTATATTATAAATAATATTATCTTTTCAGTACTTTCAATGTCGTCACAAAATTGGTTTCGAGATAATAATCATTTGACTTTGCTATGCACATCGCAGAGATGAGTGGCGTGCAAAGTTTGAAAAAAAAACGTAACAACCGTGGATTTCGATTTCACTCGACGACTAGTATTTGTTTCCAAAGTTTGTCGAAAGTTAAAATCTAAAACCCAAGAATACACAAGAGGGAGGGGAAAAAAAGTCTCCGTCCAAATCGAACGAAAACGGATTTACCTGCGAGAATCGAGCTGGGACGTATTTATATTTTCTGCGGTACGGTCGGTGTGTATATTATGTTTTTTTGAATAGGTACCGAATAAGTTCGCTATCGTTCGTGGGTGGGTGTGTGTGTGTGTGTGTGTGTATAACACATATATAAACTTTACGTATATAGATAAATGTATGTACGCGAACAAATATATACAATACCTATTGCAGGTTTCAAACGGGACATCGTCAGATTTTCCTCTCTGTTAACACGCACGCGAAAAAGTCGAAGTGTTTCTCGGTTGTTGTTGTCTTAAACGCAAACGTAATTTATATGGAAATAGATTTCGGGCGGGTACCTACTTATAATAATCTACATATAATGTATATACATGTATACGCAATATTATTATGTATCGACGTACCATTTTATACAGAAAGCACTCTGTAGTAGGCACCTATACTTACCTATAGTTGCTACTTATTATATACACCTAAAGGTGCAGTTTGACGACCATCGTAATGGCGGTAATGATATATTAGGTATTTATTATATTTTTACATAAATCTCAGATCAATCCTTTGATATCATTGCTGCTTACTAGCTATAGAGTGATTTCTTGTACCTAGTTTATTGGATATATAATATTATGAAATACGAGTAACTCGGATACAAAGTCTTACTACAGTGTCGTAAAATGCTAATGGCTTAAAAATCACATACATCATTAACTCGAAACAGTAAAAGAATTATTAAATATAACAAACGTATTGAATACTACAACTCCTAGACAAACCTTATCGACCAAAATATCAAATAATATAACGTACCTACATAGTTTTATAATAATATGATTGATTATTTATTTTATATTCCTTAATCCTTATACTAGTATTTAATACTATAATTGATATATATTTATAGTATTTTTGTAAAATATGGATAATCCATGTGAACAATTTGAAAGTGTCAGCCCCATGTCTGACCATAAGACCTGCTTTTGTACAGAACACTCTTAAAACCAATTTGGGCTTATGGATTACAGTTGTGCAGGTGGAACAAAAAAAAAAATTAAATACAAATAACATTAAATTTTTTCAAAACAACGCTTTTAGAAAACTAATTATAAAGCCCCTCCCTATACGTATTAAACTTAACATTACACATGATTCCAAAATTGAAAACCATAATTGAAGAAACCAAATGTATCTGTAATAGTTCACATGGTCGTTTATCATCTCATCCAAATCCACAAATTCAAAACTTACCATCTTTTATCAGTTCTTGGTAATCCGCGTAGACTTCTGAAGCGTAAATGATGTCGTAATCTCCTACTATAATAACTAATAAACACGTCATAAATGGCTTCTTTCGTCACTTTAATGAGTTTTTTCCTGTCGCACATTTTATTCACGTATCACGTAGGTATACTTATTGTGTCAATTTGATATAAACTAGGTATACAGTTATATACATAACAGAGAATTGAGATATAACAAAAAAAAGATGTTATTATACATTATTCACCATTTGCGATTTGCTCCATTTAACATAAATACTCTATCATTATTTCAAAAATTATTAACGTTGTTGAAAATATTCTAATATTTATGTTTTATAATAGTCATAATTATTAGTCGTTAAAACAACTATTTTACTATTCTTTATACTTTTCTTAATGACAACATGCATTTTTAATTCTAAAATTTTTTGGTGTATTTTGGTGTATAATAATGGAATTTAGGACTAGTAGTTTATGAGTTCTTTAAAGTTCTGATGAGGAAAGTGGAGTGGTACTCAGTGGTTCCCCTCAAAATGTTGGTCCACTACTCCGCTCATCTAAAACTTTAAATACCTACTTATGAAGTTATAACTAATGAACTACTTTCATTTTCATAGATCGAAAAATTCGAAATACTCGGAATAATGCTCTGCTTCAGAATATGATATTAAAAATGTATGTCATCGTTCAAAATACTAAAAATCTTAACAACTTATGACGTGTAGAAAATGAATGTAAGAAAATTTTAAAAACGTTTTTATTTTCTTAAATGATGATTATCTTACGTCAAATGGATCTCCCGTAAATACACTAATTTTTAACTGTATATTGGTGTTCTCTGAAATCCACCCTGCCAAACCAAGAAGTACCCCGCGATTAGAAAGCAACTATTTTAAGTGTCATTTTAGTTCGAGTAAATTTTACTATAATTGATTTTAAATGTCTCAAATAATATGTTTTTAATTATAAAAAATGCTTTCAACTTTCAATGTGGGCACTAGGTACATAATGTGTTTTTTGTTTCAAACAATGTCTTAAACGATTATTTATGTAAGCCCTGCTGTTACACTATGATGGAAATATATTAGTTATGCATATTATACCGCATGCGACTTTAAATTATTAATTGTCCACAAAGCTTTTTATTGGACGACGTTTTTCCAATGAAAATGTGAACTCGTAATAAGCACTGGCTTTGTGAATACATTTAATAAATTCATAGTTTGAAAATTAAAATTATGTTGAGATTACCTGAGTGTTTTTTTTTTATATGAAAAAAAAGAAGTTAATAATTAGTCTTATAAATTATACACGAACCTGTTGAATTACGTATATTTTAAATATGAATTGGTGCATAATCTTATTGGCTGCTGCCATATTGATGATTAATACTAAACGAATCAAATATCGACAATGTAATAAATTATAAAGTATAATATTATCATAGTCCCCTAATCCCCTACTATACGTCTAGCTGGGTATACTTCTCGTTTAACTCATTTCCACACAAACCTGTACCGTATTTTATAATATTTAAATCAATATTAAATCATCAATACGAAAATTGAAATTAACATATTTATAGTGTTCCGATGAGAATTATTTAAGAGTGCAATTTTACAAATTTAATATACTTATTTATCTCATACACAAAACAAAAATAAATTATAATATAAAAAACTAAGAGGTAACTTAATGACCGTCGTAAAAATTTAACACATTGATGTGATTAAAATATTTAATGTCCATTAAATTAAATCACTATGCATGGTTTTAGAGATGTTTTATGCATAGATAGTTAAAATATTTAGTTACCTAATTTTAATCTTTTTAGCTTTAAAACCAAACATTTCATATCTTATCAAAATAATAATATAATAATATTTTAATACCAATATAGTCGTGGAACTATTATAAAAGCAATAATAATTTTAAACTTATATTTTAACATAAATATGTTTTTGGGCTGGATACAGATATTTTTATTTTCTAATAGATTTTGAGTGACGATTTGTTTATCACCATAGCGAATAAAATGGAAAAACGACCCAATTGGAAAACTACCCATAGGCGAAAATCACAGGGGCTAAGCCTCCTTGCCCTCAAAAATATCATATTAGCCTTCCCAAAAATCTTATGGTTTTATAGTTATGTAGGATCGAAGTTCCCCCCCTCCATTCACATTGATGTTAAAAATGTTTGCCCCCAGACATTTTAATGGATTTTCGCCTATGCCTAATTCCCACTAGGTGTATGCACAATGAATGGTTACTTATCAATACATATATTTTATGATTCATACATTTTCTTCGAAATGGATAATATCGAGTGTTACGTTTATGTCACACGATCACCATACATATTTTTTTTTTTAAATGTCTTATCAACCACGCCCCATTATATTTTAATATAGATAAACTAAAAAAAATAGACTTAAAAAAACATTAATTCCTGGTCTGAAATTGTTTACGTAGGTACTACCTATATAAAAAGAATGGGCAGACTAACAAAAGTTTTTTTAGAACCTAGGTTTCATTTTCTAACTGAGATTGTTATTCTTCAGGTGTCATTGTTAATTATTTTACACAATTTACTGG